TATTACTCTCTGTAATTTTTCGGCAGGTGCAAGGATCAGCATCTTCAAAGTAACCGTTGTGCCAGTCTCTTGCAACTAATTGCACTTGTGTTCCTTCCTGCTGTATTCCTTCTACCCAGATTGTTTCCTTCCTTCTAAGTTCAAAACCTTTTTGACCTATCAACCAATTTTAGAAAAGTGGTGGAAAACTACAAAGAATGTTTGACCTGTTGAGGCTGGGTGATTTCTGTGTATGGAGTTCTGACCTTTATGGTTTATTACAAGTGCAGTGTGCAGAAATAAACAAGTCAGCTACATTAGACAACAGAAATTCAGGAATGCAGAAGAGTTAAACCACTTTTTTTCATCAGTTCAGCTTCTGCAAATTTTAAAGTACATAAAGTTTGCTAGACCTCAGATACGGAGAGGTTTTCTGCTTTGCAAAATGTAGTGAGACTTCAATGTCCTGCTTTGTGAGGGAGAGCTGAAACCTTTCAAAGTTTTGTAGCATTTTATCACTGAAAGAAGCACTAAAACTACGGAACTGAATAAAAGAAAACTATCTGCTATTAATGTGTCCCATTGCATTGCAAAATTCCTGGGCAATTAAAATTTTCAGTGTGCTTTATTTTTCAAATTTTTATTTCCTCTGTACCCAACTAAAAATCATAATTAGTAGAAATATTGAATTATATTGCAATGTAACTTATCTAGAAGAAGTTTTATTATCAGAAGTATGAAATATGCCAGATGATTAAAAGAGATGTTTCAGACAGCTTTAATATAATGCAAATAGATTTTAAACACTTCTTCAAAATACTGGTAGGTTTTCATGATAATACAGTAGTTATCTTCTGCTACCTCCTTTATAAAAACATAATATTGCTGAAAATAAACTGCTGAACCATATGTTAAGAAAAACTATCATTTCCTGGATGGCTTCAAGCTACTGAGACTGGTGACTTTTAAAAAGATTTTATCAAAACCCGAGAGCTGTGACATTTACATGTTGTCCTGTTGGAAATTGGTACTGGAAGAATTATAGACATGGCAGCTAACACACAGTGAGTTTTTACCTGGTTTCTCACTAATCAAAAATATATCTTTCAACAATTTGTCCTAGGGAAAATCTTTTTATGCAGTCTCATTTTTTCAAAGGAAATAATTTGGAAATTGATGCTTCCATCTGTCTCATTACTTTTTTCTGGATGTGTGCGATAAGTAATTTCGTTAGTTGAACCTTTGTAGCTAAAGGAGACAAATGGCCTCAGGATAATATTTCTTCCACTAATTTAAATTCTGAAATACTGAAGATTTAGTAGTAGAAAAATCTGATCTGGTGTGTTTGGTGCAAGTCTTTAAGAAGTTAATGACAGACAATCTTAAATCTTCCAATTGAATGATAATTGAGGCTTAATAAAAATCAGAATACGGCTTATGACATTTCTAACTAGGTATAATTACTTGTATTAACAAAATTAAAATTATGTCTATAGCTTTACTTCTATTAGAAGAACAATTACTATGGACAAAAGATTAAGTGAATTAAGATATCAAGAAAAATATAATATCATGAAGACAGAAGGCAGTTGCCAGTCCCTACTGAAAATTACACCAAAAAATATGTATTTTTTCTTTTGGTAGGAAATAAACCAGTATCCTTCCATGTGTTCAGTGTATTTCATACATGCACAATAATATGTACTGAGTAAATATAACACAATATATGAGTGCAGATTTTCCATAATCATCCCCTCACATGATAAATATTATAATTAAAATCACAAAGCATTTGATTTTAAAAAAATCAAGTAATGCAGTTCAAGCAGTGCTCTAATAGCATGTACACTGGACCTAATTTACTGGGTTTTATTTTCTTTAGCAAGTAATAATTCCATTTTTTTCCATATGCTTCCCTGCCATTAAAAAACTAATCAACTACGCTTCAGAGTGTTATGTTAAAAGGGAAGATAACTGATGATTACAGGGCTGATACAGTGAAGTAGAAGACAATAGATCTGATTTCCCTTAAAGCTTAGTTGTCTCTGTAATGTTCTTTCCACACATATTAAGTGTACCTGTAGAGTTGGAAAAGAAAGACTGTAGGCTCTACTTAATTTCTGCCACTGCTTGAGACCAGAGAATACTTTTGCAGCATTTTGCTGGAATAGACAGGAAATTTTCATCCACTAAAAGGGTTTAGCAGTGCTTTCAGTAAATGTTTCCATTGTGGCTTGCTTGAACAAATACTTATTAAAATGTCCTAAAGTCTTAGATAACGTGAGCAGAAAACAACAAGGGATGAGAAAATGGTCATAAATATTTATATCTAAATATCAACAGCCAGTCCATGCTGGGTGACAGCACCTTGCACGTACAACACACCAGCAGGTCATCCCTGGTGGAAGAGGATCACATGTAAAGCTGTTTGTACAATCAATTTTGTCACTGATACCTTTTTGTGGGGTCTATAATATTAACAAATTCCCAAGTGAATTACCTCACAGAATTAAAGGTATGCTGTGGTTCAATTCTATCACTAGTACAGCTTTGATATTCTTGCATTTGTATTTATCCACATCCTCATTTCCCCATGGAAAGATTTGAATGGGTGTCAAGGTTTCACGCTGGTGCAATGCCAGTGCCCCCATGAAAATACATTCTCCCTGGTGTCTGCTATAAGATGTGACCAGGAATACAGCAAAACAGGCTTTAGAAATAAAGAAGATGAAGGCCTGTAGAAACATAAGTGGCAGGAAAAGAACAGGCAGAGGTGCAGAGTCGGTTCTCCCCGTAGGAGAGCTGGGGGTCCACAAGGGAAGATGCCAAGCCCCTTCTTCAGCAAGACCAAAAGATGTTCTTCATAAGAACTGAGTTGGAGAATTTACCAGAGTATGTTGTTGGTATTAAAAGTATTTGTGTTGAAGAGGAGAAAGAGCAGATTCAGAGGTGGAACCAAATACATAAAATCCCCATCTATTTTGAATAGAAAAAGCAATATTATATATGCTTGCCCTATTCTGTGTTCTTTCTGGCCTCTGCTTTTTGCCTCCACTTCAAAACTTATACTAGGCCTAAAAGGACCTTTGCTGTGATCTGCTGCCGCTACTTTATGTTGGCTCTTCATTCACAGAAGTCATAATTGATGTGGACTTTTTTCACAGTTTCTCCTTATCCTTCCTCAAATAGAACTTGTCAAACCTCTTTAAAGAAACATGGTGTCATGGTTTGACGCTGGCACAATGCCAGTGTCCCCATGAAAATACATTCTCCTTGGTGTCCGCTATGAGATATGACCAGGAATAGAGCAAAACAGGCTCCAAATTAGAAATAGAGAAAACTTTATTAACCTACAACTATATGTAAAAAGAAACACACAGAAAGAATGAAAACCTTCCAAAAACATTTCCTCCTCGCCCCACCAAATTTCCAATACATCTACCCCTCAGATCACCAACTCTCAATCCACCATCACACTTTGGATAATCAATTCTCAGTTCAAGGATTGAGGAGTCCCTCTTGTGCCACAGGCTTCTCCTGGAAACACAGTTGAGACCTCATGTGTTTCCATGTCACAGGTGGCACCGCCCGGAGATCATTGCCATCCTGACATCTTCCTTCCATGCCCAGTGCTCTCACCACTGCTCACAGACCAGAGCTGCTTCTAGGGTTTTCCTTTTAAGGGTGCCTTGTCCAGTTCCAAAAAGAGCACAGCCTCTCACTTTCAGGACCTATCCCCCCAGATTTCACCCCCTGAGACTGAGGGGTCTCGAGAACAGAGATCTTCTTCTTCACCGATGATCGAGGACACCAACCACCCTCCTCATCCATTGTCTCTGTTCACACACTCTTTCACATAACAACACTGAACTCTCTTGGCTCCAAGCCATTGCCTCCCCCTAAATGCAGTCTCTGTGTCACAGGAAAATGGTTCTGTCCATGGCTGTACAAGAAAAATCCAGCCAAAGGCCACTCCATCATCTCCTCCCACCTAAGATTCTTCTCCACTTCTCTTGTGGCCCATTTCCTCTTATCGTATCTCTATCTCTATCTCTATCTCTATCTCTATCTCTATCTCTATCTCTATCTCTATCTCTATCTCTATCTCTATCTCTATCTGTCTTCTCATTCAGCTCCAGGAGGATCAGCATTTGTAACGTTTCCATCATCCAAGAAAAGGGTTAAAAAGCTCAGGCTCTGCCTGTCCAGAACTCCCATGGCTGCCCTGCTGGGTACCTTCTCACCACATCCCGCCCTTCTTCTCCTTGGCCAGGCCATGCTATCAAGTTTCAAGGTGGCACAGGTACAGACTGGCTATCTCTCTCTCTATCTCTCTCTCTGTCTCTCTCTCTCTTGGGGGTCTGCCCGATGCCTCTTGGTGCTCCTCCACTCTTCCATCCTCAGGGCCCAGGCCTACCTCACCCAGGCGCATGGCTTCCCCTCGCCCGCCCAGCAGCAGCAGCCGGGCATGGGAGCTCTGAACTTTTCACCCGCCAGAACCAAGAGAAAGTTTTCCTGGGAGTTCTCTGCTTTTAACCCCCTGAGTTCTCAGAGACGTATCCATATCCTCAGTGGCCACACCAGGTGCCAATATTCAAATCTGAGCACCTATTGGTTTGACCGCAGCATCCCAAAAAATACTTACTTTCTCTCAAACCACGACAATGAACCACATTCATTATTAGCTATTCCATACAGTTCTACAACATGCAACTAAAATCAACCTCAGGTAATGAAGTCATGATGTCTGCATCCATTTGTTAGCATAACCATTTAATTACAGAACTGCAGCAATTTGCTCTGGTGGAAATCATGTGTGGATTTTTTCAAAGGAGCATATGTGATTGTTCTTAAAAGGCCAAGGAGATTCTCCGGAGTTAGAGATGAAGAAATAAGAAAATAAAATAAAATGACAACTAGTTCTATAATACATGATAGCGCAAACTAAAATAAGACATATTTTGTGATTTATATATGATATTAATTTTTATTATTAATTTTTTATTAATATTATGGGAAGATTAGTGTACTTAATCAGATGAGTTGTATCTTAGTGTTATAAAAAGTTATGACAGCTATACACATGAAGATATATCTATCTGCAGAACATATATTCATATGCCTTCATTTCTTAATTTAATTATTTTTTAATGGAAACTATAATATAAATGCACTTTTTTATTTGGCAACCTTTTAATTTCCTTTATGCATATCAAATAATGGCATACTTAAACAAAATTGTAATTTAAATTGCTCTAAATAAGAAAATAAACACAATCATTGACATAGCATTATCTTTGAAAGCAAGGAATTTTTTGAGGTGAGTTGAGTACTCCCATTTTCATTTGTCATACTATATTGTTCTGTAACAGAAAGCCAACATATTAATGGACTGAAATTTTTCCATAGTAACCACGTTAGGCTGGCACAAATGAACTTCAAGAATATGAATTTTAAGATGATAATCAAGCTAGGGTCCTAGGCACTCTGCATTCCTGTCCACTGCATAATTATTTACTATTAAACTATTGAATATTTATATATTGTTATTTTGTAGTAGAGCCTGCGACCACACATTGAAAATACTTACTACAGTGAGCTCCCTCCAGAAAATGAATTAATATATATGTGAATATTTCTATCAGACACAACTGCCCTTATTGCACACTCCCACTGCTCTCTGTCCTGGCGAAGGAAGTCTGTCATGAAAGTGCAGCACCAGGTGCATGATGAAACTGTACTTTTGGGATGCAAATGAGCCATGAGATTGGTGCAAACTCTCCCTGACTTTTGCTAATATTCATGGTCATGAACAGTTCTTGCAGATTTGAAACAATGAAAACTCCTCCCCCGCTTCCCTCCTCTTGCTGAAATTGAACTAAATTGTATGCATTTTGTGTCCTGTATTGCCTCAACACCTTCTTACCTATTTTTCCTGACTGGAATATATAACAGATTTTAGAAGATTTAGAATGCAATGTTTTTTTAATGCACTCTTTTACATTATTGCTTTGAAATGCCCATGATTTTTATATAATACACTATTACCTTGCTGTCATTCCTTTTATGTTCAAATTAATGAGATTTTTTTTGTACATGCATCCAAATTGTTTGATATTTTCTGATAGAGATGCTTTTAAAAATTTTCATGTCAATACAGATGTAGAAGTCTTCTAATAATAATATTTTCATCTGTGACAATCTTCAGTATTGCATACAACCAGTACTGTAATAAAAAAATGGAAACATTTGCTAGTCTTCTAGCTTTTGTAGATCTGTTGCAATGAAGAATTAATTTCTCCAGATCTAATAGACTAATTTAGTACTTCAAAGCAATGTACTTAATATATAAGACTCATTTAACAAGCACTAGTCTCTTCCTAACAATGATTAATGATAGGATACATAAAATTGGATCAAACAGTTTTCTTGTTCTTTAATTTCATCTTTATTCATAGAAAATGCTGCTTAACTGCTTAAAGGTTTACACCTACTGTCCATTTCTACACTTATAAATCTGTAAAAGGAAGTTTAATTCTTTCATATTGTTAATCTTCTTCCTTTAAAACACCAAATAGAAATTCTGATATTTGCAAATGAACCTATTACATACATGTGTTCTCATTAAATACTAAATATAATAGTTGACTTTTTATCAAAACTGAGTATACTTATTACAATAATAATAACAAATTCATTTTAAGACCACACAAATTTTTCCCCAAGGTAGCCTTAGAAACTTCAGGATAAAAGGGAAATGATGCACAGGAGAGGCGGAAGAATTTAAAGATAAAGAAGAGTTTAAAGGAGGGGAGAGGAAAAACGAGGTATAGCCTTGAGATGAAGTGGATATTACAAAGGCCCTGACATTTAGCATGGTCAGACATTTAGATTTTAAAAGGTATGTCAGATAGCCCATATTTTTAAAGAAAAATGCGAGTAATATAATAATGTTAGCTGCAGAAAATGATAAGTATTCTTTATGACATGGAATTATGTTCTGGAAAAACTTCTGAAGCTTAGTTGTTTCTCATCACATTCTTTTTTTCGCTGAAAGTTCTTCACTGCCATGCAGTCAATCTACTGTAATATAGAGTTCAGTCTGATCGTGTATACATTGTCTCATTTTAGGGATTAAGGTATGAAATTTTTTTTTCCTCATGTTCATGATTGCATCACAACAACACAATGAATAATTAAAAAGTCTTATTTATATAATTAATAATTTAAAAGTCTTACTTAATATGTTACCAGTAGACACACTCTTTGCTAGGGAAGTCAATAATCCTGCTCTATGATACAAAACAGTGTAATTGTAAGGATATCTGTAAGTCATTCTAAAGTAGCATTTGAAGGAATTGGTTATGATCCTGAATGTGGCAAGTAACTTCTGGTATGGTTTTGTGTCAGATATACATTTACCTTCTGAGGGGTATCTATGTACTTCCAGGCATTCCAGAGTATGTATAGTCCCTAAAACCCTGCCAGGATATCAGCTGTTGCACCCATTCTGATGGTGAAGAGTTTTTCTCAGGATTTAATAATTTTTTAGGTTTTAAGAAAAAAGATGAGCAATGACTTAAATAAAATATATTTTTAAAAAAAGTAGACCCAAAATAATTCTGGAGAAGAGAGGGAGAAAAGTATATTTTGAGAAGAATACCTATGTTGAGATTTTATTAATTTCATAAATTTGCTTTTAAAAATTTTGGGATTTTGTTGGTTTTTCTCCCACTGTTTGAACCTTATGAAGTGGGAAAACATTCCACATTCCAAGGGCTTTCATATGTGAAATTTCTGTGTTTTTTTCATTTTGCTTATCATATAAAGGAGTTTTTTATCTTTAATTAAGGTCGTTGTATTTCAGTGACTATATGGCTCAATGCCATCATAGAACATCTTGGCTTTTTTTTTTTTGCTTCATTTTGTTTGTTTGTTTATTTCTTTACTGATGAGAAGAGATTAATATCACAACATGGGGAACATTGCATAATGAGTGAAGATCAGATAATGAGTGAATTACACTAATTTTTGCTTTAATAAAAACAGTTCAAACTCAAACAGTGCTCCCAAAACTGGTACTTATTTTCAATTGTCAATCAAATTTAAAAAAAAAAAAACCCATGGTTTTTCCTGTATGAATCAGAGCTGTCAACCCCTCCTTTCCCACAAGAAGAAATGCTTTCAAATAATTTTAAAGAATGAGAAAATTATAAGAGTTTTAAGTTTCTAAATAAAGTAATTAAAGCAATTCTTTTAATAATTCTTTGCATAAATCAGAGTCCTCATACTGCTGATGGATCTTCAGATATCTGTGTACATGTTTCAGAAATTTACATTGTGTGGTAAGCTAAGAGGTATTTTTGGGTATTTCTGCATGTTTCTGATTTCTAAAATTCTTGTCTGTTTTTTTATAATTGATAGTGTATTATTTTAAATAGCTCTTAGAAGATGTCTATAGCCAAAAAAATATTCAAATATGTCTTTTTATGCCATAAATGGTTTCCAAATGGTTTTATTATAGTATGTAATATATCTCCTATATTGAGAACCAAGAAAACATATTTCTGTACAGTGAATGACAATGTGATTATAAAAAAATCTCATTGTATTGAGAACAAGAACTATGTCATTGCCCAAAGAAGATAAATGAACATTTGTCTCATAAATTTTATAGTTTGTTGTGCAGTATTTTAAAGTCTAGTAAAAGGAAGATATAATACCTTACATAAGATTTCCTGTTGGACAGCTGAGAATATTTTTCTTGGTTTCTGAACTTCAAATCAAGTCCATTGTCAAGAGTCTCATTACTTTCTGATCAATCTACTGATGGAAGTGGTGCTCTAATATGATCAATGTGACTCCATTTAACTCCTTCTAAGCAGAGATTTTTAAAAATAAAGGTTCATTCAGTTCTGGATCATTCCTCACTTGTGAAAAGTTGGATCTTTCACAGTGCAGGTAATGTTTTGTCTACACGGATTTTTAATTTTTATCTGTTTTGCTTTTTTACCACTTTAAATCATTTAGAGATTATGTTTAAATATTGTAAAATTCTGGCAATAAAAAGGAATATAATAATCTGTCAAAAGCTGCCCTGAATAACATTGCTGGAAGAACTAAAGGAGTTTATATAATTTTAGATTTTTGAAATTATTTATTTATTTTTTGCAAAAGCTTTCTCAAGCATTATTAATTTCAAATTGAAAAATAATGTAACACTTTTTCTGGCAAAAATACTACCTTATGTAGTCCTATTGCCTCAACCTCAAATTTCAACCTATAGTTTTATATTAATTATTTGCAATACACATTTCATTTTCCCTCAGAGGGATCCATTTTACCTGTGATGAGATGCTGACAATGTAGATCTCTCCACATCAAGCCACCATCACTTCTCTTGACAGAAAGTACAATGAAAAAAAAATATATTTAGAACACAGCCACAACCTACATGATCCATTTGAGGGAGTTTTGCACTTGTTTAATATGCTAAATCAGACTCTAGAAATGGCTACTTGTGCCTCACAATTACAAAGAATGTTTTGCTGATTAATTCAAATATCTACACTTCTTTAGAGAAAAATTGATTTCCCATTTCCTCTATTCTACCTTAAATCCAGACTAGATATTGTTGATTTTTACTCAGCAAGATGAAAAAATACTATTCTCTGTGGAGAACATATGCAGGAATGGAACTTGGTTGCTATAGTAATACTAATTCTTCTGGATTTATCTTCATGTCTAAAAATATATATAAAGAAACAAACGACAAAAACCTCATCTATATTTAGAATGTTTTGCTTGTACAAACATAAATTATGCAGTTGCTGTGTTTGCCCTGTGAGCTCTTTCATACAGTTTTTCTCACTTTTCAAGTTTTGAAATTTCTGAAATTATAATATTATAAATTTTAAATCAGGAATAAACATTTGAAGAATCTCTTTTAGGTATCTTTATGGACTTATCTAAACATATGTGCTTGTGGCCGTTTTCTAGTTCTTTTTTGATAATAGAATTTTAAATAGTTTTGATTATTTTTCCATGCATCAGCTTGACTTCTCATTTGAAAAGAAAATTCTCTAACTGTTCATTGCTGTTAATAAAATATACAGCTTGCAATCAAATACATGCTACCTCTGATCATAGAAGTTGGTACATTACACATTTTAAAGTGAATAATTAGCATTTCTTTCTAAATTAAAAAAATTGTAAACTAATTTCTATTTTTCTTCTTTTCAGAACACATCCTGATTTATGAACACATAGTAGTTGCCAGTAGATTGCAACAGCAGTTCACCATAGTGCTCATTCTGTCCTTCTTCCTCTTTCCAATAGGAAATAAATAGTGCTCATATTTTACTGCCAGCTAGGCAATGCTATTCCTTTATTTTTTGGTGGCATAAATATTTTTTATTTATGGTACAACTTCCACAATCATTGCACATGTTATCATTGTGTATATATAGGCAGAAAGCCAAAAGTAGCAATTTTTGGAGTTCTTAAAGTAGTGACACAGCTGACACAAAGAAGTTTTAGATCAAGAAAGTATAATGGTCCTGAGTGACCAATCAGTAATATCTGTCTTCTAGCCCCTAGACTGTGAAAAAAACCCAAAAAATCATACTGGGATAAATGAACAGAAAGGCCACATATGAGAAATATGAAGTGCTCATAATAAGGTTTCAGCAGAAGTTTTGTGCCCAGTTCTTATCATCCTGTCTCAAAAAAAAAAAAAAAAAAAAAAGCATGATATAACTGAAGAGAGTCAAAAAGATTTTAAAAAATTAGCAATCAGAATTTAGAAAATGTGGTATATGAAGAAAAATTGGAAGAAGGTGTTTAGCCCAGAAATGACAAAAAGGTGGAGAAAAGAAATATATGTTCATTATTGAAAATGCAATGAACTGTTTTCATGGAAATGGGGTAAATGCACTTAAACTATAGATAACTGCAAAGTCTTTAGTATAGGTATAGCAATTTTTTTTTCTGATAAAAGTGTTTAAAAATCAGAATCTTTAGCACAAAGGAAATTAAAAGATTAAAAATTTCTTGGGATTTCATCTCTTCTGTGTCCAACTTGCTTGAATAAGATTGTTATAAAGGTTATTCAAGGCAGAGAGGACCATAACTTGCATTGATTTTTCATTTCTAAATTCCTCTCATGTTCTAAAATGTTAAAATTATTGTGTGATTACTTATAAAATCCTCTCTGATTGTTCAGTATAACTTAAGCTATAAAATAGGCATAATTTGAAATGTGGTATTTGTTTATTTGAGATAGTATTTTCCCATTTTCCAGTGGAAAATGATGCCTGGTGATAAACAGGTTTTGTTGTTGGTTTGTTTTGTGAGAGTTACTCTTTGTGGTATCATTTGTCCTTCAAGATATATTTTCTTTACTGTATCCATTTGTTGAAATGATTCAGTAAATAACTTCTACTATCAGTTCTTTGTCCCTGTTGCCTGAGAAAAAAACATGACCACAGACCGCTGTTTCCCAGTCCTACCTATTACTGCCCATGTGTTTATTTCTGCAGCACTTAACTGTACCGTGGATGTGCATCTGCAGACTAAGGCTGCATCTGTTTAAGTCTTATTAGGAAACTCACATTCTTCTCCACGGACCAATGCTTAATTCAAACCTCACTGTTGAGCAGAATGATCATCATATATTCTGGTTCAAATCAAGGTCACCTTTGAATAATGCATATTGAAACTGAGTTATATTATTTCAGGAACGTTTTAATGGCTTAAAAAATGGTAGTGTATTTTTTTCTAGAGTGGGAAAGAAAAACCAGAAAAATTTGAGAGAAATATAAATTTCTTTTGCAAACAAACCATACTTTTCCAGTAAAAGTTTATGCATTCTTGCCAGAGTGTTAAAGTTAACCTCAATTTGACCCAACCAGAAATACTTTTGATGAATCTCAGATGCCTTGGTACATGATTTAGGTGACTTAGAAAGAATGAAAGCATGCTATTACATTGTTGGCTCAACAGTAAGATATCTTCTCCTATCCCCCCTGGTTGGAAGGTGCTATGCAGCTTCTCAACTGTAAAGTGCCATCAAGTTCTCCTCCCTGCAAGGGTTTCAACAGAGACTTGTCTGTGTGTTCCCCCTCTGCTCCACCCTCTATCCTATCCCATCCCATCCCATCCCATCCCATCCCATCCCATCCCATCCCATCCCATCCCATCCCATCCCANCCCATCCCATCCCATCCCATCCCATCCCATCCCATCCCATCCCCCTTACTGGGTGCTAGTGAGAATTTAATCCAGGGAGCAGCAACCGTATGTGGCCCTATAATTTTTGTATAACTTCTCATTTTCCTCTAATTTTACCCCAGCTATCTTTTCACAATAATGAAAAAGTATTTTCATTCTGCACAATTTATTTTTTACCTTAAAAATCTTCTGTGATTGTTACTAAAGAAATCAGTAATGACATGACATCTTTGAATTGAACTCTATTCTGAGGTCTTAAATTCTCTGGAAAGAAAGATTGAACAGAGACAATCTTCAGCATGACCTCATGAATTGTATCAGGAATATTTGGACGGTGAATTTTATTTCCCCTCTCACACATTTTTCAAGGCACTGATGCTTTATTGATGAGAAATATTACCTCACTGTATATTTGCTTTCCTGTTCTTTATGAAGATTAAAGTCAACTAATCATCACAGAAGTTTGTTCACGTTTTTTTTAAAGACTCTCTGAATAAAAATGTGGCTTTTTAAAGATCATTTGTCATTTGGGAAAAAAGCACCTTTTTGACTGAAGACTTGAGTTAACAGTTTTATGCTTCATCTGCTAAAACTATGCCAAATATATGGGTCAAGGATTTTATAACAGAGAGATTAAAATCTCATTAACATCCTGTTTTAAAGTTGCCCAGTCTTAAATGCATAATAAAGAAAAAAAAATAGTAATTTTTAAAATTCTATCTACGCCTATGGATATTTATGTTTACTCAGATATATTTAATTCAACAAAGAAATAGATGTTACTTTAATAGAACAAACACTCATCAGAGTCTGATTTTCTTGCAATACACAAAATTACATTGCAATAAGCAAATCCAATTCTGGCACCACATTCAGCCATTACTTGATAACTTAGTGGCCATAAAGTTTAAAATATTATAGTCTCAATACACTGACATACTACCTGACAGAGAATGAATAGTTGGCTGTTTCTATGTTTAGTACTTGGTCCTTTACAAACAACTTTATCTCTTGGATCTATTATTTAATCCCAGCTGTAGACATTAGAGAGGTACAATCTGTACAATGCAGCTGAAGTCTTTCATATTTCTAAAGCTACTTTGGAAGAATTTTGTGAAAGGAGAAAGCGAAAAGTTCCATAAATGACCTTTCACCACAGGGGGAGAGCAAGGAGGAGACTTTCTGCTGTTAATGGAAGATAATTCCATTTCAAATTGCAGAATAAGAAAGCCTGGTTTGTTTTCTTTTAATGCATTGCACCAGGGAGACATTAATTTTCTGGCATACTAACTGATTTCACTCTCAGCTAATGGCTGATATTAATCAAGACTCCTTTGTCTTTTTTTAGTTCTTTCTGAAAACCTCTGTTTAGTTTTTATTTTTGAAGTGGTTTCTTAGGTTAGTGTTAGTTTTCCAAATAATTTGATTTTGATGATAACAAAAATAACAAGACTACATTGCTTATTCATAGTATATAAGTGGCATAACTATATATAAATAAATATTTCAACCAAATGATGTTGTGTAATTATCAGGAATTTGATGTCACATTGACGCCTTTTGAATAGCTGTTCCTAAAACATTTAGTGAATAGATCTATTGATTGAATTGCTGAGAAAAAAATTTATGTCAGAAAAAAAATATTAGAAAGGAAGACAAATGTTTGTAGTGATAGCTAGTAGGGAGCATTTTCAGATTGCTGATCATGAGAAGAAAGCCCAGCACAAAGCAAAATATTAGTCTTGATTCCTGATTGATAAATCCCATTGCTTTTCTGTAAACATCATACCATCCCTACCAAAGTTCCAAAATATTACCAAGATGTTTGTGCTACTGGATTATTGAAAACAAAATAATCTGCTTCTTAATATTCCACCAAGATTAATAACATACCGGAGCTGTGAAACAATGAGAATTGGCTCATAATACTTAAATTTGATTCCTTGATGCTTTATTATTCCTTCAGAAGTGATACAGCATGACTCCTACACCTAGAAAAGTATTTATTTCCATCCCACTAGCTCTGATGAGCAGATTGGGTATCATACTGAACTATCTCAATTCATTAATATCGTGTTCCTTTTCCAGCTTGTATTGGCTACATGAGGGCTTGAGGAATAATAATAGTCTTGTCCTTAGGCCTGTGTGAAGTCTGATCCTGAGAGTCA